GCAAATTTTGTTAATGAGTACTTTGTTAACACTGGTAAACAACTTGCTCAACAAATTAAAGATATTGCCTTGCATGACTCATATAACCTTTCTGACACACTGCCTGCACTGGGAAATTCCTTCATGCTCCTTGACACAGATCATGATGAAGTGGATAGAATCTTGATGGGCCTAAAATCTAACAATGCACCAGGTTGGGATATGATTTCAACAAAGTATTTAAAATTTGTAAGATATGAAGTTGTTCCTATTATAACTCACCTTGCCAACCTTTATTTTAATAAGGGGATATTCCCTACCCTGTTAAAGCAATCTATTATTATTCCGGTACACAAGGGTGGAGATAGGACGGAAGTGAATAATTATAGGCCCATATCCATATTACCTAGCATATCAAAAATTTTGGAAAAGCTTATTAATAATCGTTTAGTAAATTTTTTAAATAAATATAATATTTTGTCTCCTTTCCAATTTGGATTTAGAACGGGTAAATCCACAGAAGATGCTGTAACTTCTCTAAGCTCAATAATAATTGAAGAAATTGATAATAAAAATAAATGTTTAACGGTGTTTCTTGATATCAAAAAAGCCTTTGACACCGTCTCTTTCCCTATCCTAGTAAATAAATTGGAAAAGGTTGGTATAAGGGGAGCACCATTAACTCTTTTTAAAAGCTACCTCTCTAATAGGAAGCAGAGAGTAAAGTTGGAACAGTACTTAAGTGAAGATGCAGAAATAACATACGGAGTTCCACAGGGAAGCGCTTTGGGCCCAACATTATTTCTTGTATATATCAACGACCTTTGTAGCCTAAAAATAAATAACTGATGATACTGCAGTCGTCTTCTCTGGAAATTCCTGGAAAGCTGTGAAAAATAGTGCCGAAAATGGAATGGTTCAAATAGCTACTTGGTTAAAATATAACTTGCTCTCGCTGAACACAAATAAAACTAAATATATATGTTTCAGTGTCTACAATAAAAATCAACCTGATGACAGATTTAGTATAAGGGTTCATGATTGTTGTAACAACCAGGATAGTAACTACATCTGCCCGATCATTAATAAAGTTACCCATACAAAGTACCTGGGTGTCATGGTGGATCAAGGACTGTCCTGGTACCCACAGCTTGAGCATGTTGCCGGAAGAGTCAGAAAGTTGATTTAGGTCTTTAGATCATTAAGGCATGTGGTTCCAGGTAATAATAAAAAAATGGTGACCGGGAAACATCAAGAACAATTCTGAATGAGATATATATCGCCTTAGTTCAATCTGTCTTGGAATATTGCATTCCTGTTTGGGGAGGCGCGGCAAAAACTAAGTTTATAGAGGTTGAGAGAGCACAACGTGCGCTTATTAAAGTTATGAACTTCAAAAAATATTAGATACCCCACGGAAAGGCTTTATCTCGAGAGTGGGCTACTTTCGGTAAGGAAACTGTATATAAAACAGATCACACTCAATAAACACAAAAATATACCCTACGATGCAAGTAAAAAAGGAAAAAGAAGAAAAAATAATGTGGCTTCAGTACCCCAAACTAAAACTAAGATTGCTACTACTCAATATAATAGTCGCTCGTCTCAAATTTATAATAAAATCAATAAAGAACTTGATATTTATTCGAAACAATATATCGAATGTAAAAAGGTAGTACAAAGTTGGTTAGAGCCACTTAATTATGAGAACACTGAACTGCTTTTACATACAGTAAAATAGTACACACACATACGCACACACTCACATACAAAAACACATACACGCGCAAGCACGCATGCGCACACACACACACACGACACACACACACACACACACACACACACACACACACACGCGTTCACACACACACACACACACACACACACACATACACACACACGCACGCTTTCGCAGACATATAACAAATATCATAATCTGCGGAAAAAAAACTGTAAATACTCCCTTTTAGTCTTTAAGTTTTTCTTTGTAATGTCATATTTCATAATGTAAATAATATAATATATAGATATTGATATGGAAGAGCGGATTCCTAGGTACAGGCATTATTTGCTTAATAGGAGAATCCGGCCACTAATGTCTGTAAACCAATTCTATTTGCTGAAATAAATTTTATTTTGGGGTATCTATATAATTTTCTCACCTGGTTGGGTTCTATAAATATATAATTATAAATTAAAATGAAAAGATAATAGTACATAAATATCAATAAAATAAAATAAATACAAAAAATACATAAATAAATAAGATCCAACCAGATGGGAGCCCTAGGCAGGGGAGACCAAACGGCCGAGGGTTAGGAGGAAAAGGAAAGAAACCTGCGGACGATGCGGGCGGTTTCGAGGAGCACCGCCCTCTGCATTTGAGCTCGGAGCGGTCCGTCACGGAGTCCCAGTCGCCTCAGATGACCCGAGAGGCTGACTGGGATTAGCCCATTCGCAGAGACGACTACAGGAATAATTTCGGTCGGCATACCACCCCACACGTCGGTCATCTCGTGAGCCAGGTCCAGATATTTTGTTCGTTTATCTGTTTCGTCTTTCACGAGGTTCTCGTCATACGGAATGGTAATGTCGATCAAAAATATCCTTGACTGTGCCCGGTCCATCAGCACAATATCAGGCTTATTCGCAAGAATAGTCCTGTCTCTGATGATGGCCCGGTCCCAGTAGAGCCTGGCGCGGTCATTTTCGAGCACGGCTTCCGAAAAGTGCTTGTAATACGGCAATTTCCGGTCCACGGGACCGTATTTCAGAGCGAGCTCCTGGTGTAGAATTCTGGCTACTAGGTTGTGCCTGTGCAAGTACTCAGAGTTAGAAAGCGCCGAGCAACCGGAGATGACATGCCTAAGCGACTCCCCGGGATGGCGACAAGCTCGACAGACGTCGACAGTGTCATCCTTTAGGATGTATCTTCGATAGTTGTTGGTCTTAATAACCTGATCCTGTATTGCACAGACAAAACCCTCGGATTCCCCGAAAAGGTCACCGAAACGTAGCCAGTTGAGGGAGGCGTCTGTATCTACCTGAGGCTCATGTAGAGCCCTGTAGTACCTCCCATGGAGCTCCTTCTCCTTCCATACGGTCTCCCGGTCGGAAATGCTCTGTACTGCCGGGTCTTGCCATTGCTCGTTGGCTAAGGATAGAGGGGTAAGTCCTTTATCACTAGAAATAACGTCATTATAGAATGGATCATCCGATCTCGCCAGGAAGTAATGACGGAGGCCGCACACTTCGCGATTATGCATGGTGAGCGCGCTCAGGAAGCCACGCCCACCATGCTTTCGCGGCAAGTACAGCCTCATTACCGACGATCTCGGATGATGCATCCTATGGGACGTCATTGTAGTGCGTACTTTTCTATCCAGGGCGTTAAGTTCAGTCTGACTCCACCTGAGTACGCCAAAGGTATACATGAGGACAGGCATGACGCAACCGTTATATGCATGTGTCTTATTAACACCGGACAAAAGGTTGTTAAGCACTTTGGTCAAGCGTGCATAAATCACGTCGCAAACTGACTGTTTCATACCAGCCTCATCGATACCGATGTTCTGTGACATACCCAGGTATCGGTATGTTTCAGCCTCGGAAAGGGCCCTTAAGTTGACGGGCATAGATAAGTCTATGCCCTCAGAGTTACGACCCTTCCCCTTTTCAACATGGAGGACCGCACACTTATCCGTCCCCAGCTCCATTCCAATAGAATTGCTAAATTCACAAGTGATGTTTAGCAATTCCATAAGATGCGAGCGACTGGAGGCGAATAATTTGAGATCATCCATATAGAAAAGGTGGGTCACTTTTGTACCTCCTTTCCGAAGCTGAAATCCCCTCCCGGAGCCCTCCAGTAAAGTACTGAGAGGGTTCAAAGAGAGGCAGAACCAGATTGGACTCAGACAGTCGCCCTGGAATATACCCCTTCTTATCCTTATGCGGCTTTCCGTAGCCGTCATCCGCTCGCCTAGATGACAGAGGATCGTACTCCACTACCCCATACACTGCTCGAGGAAGTCTCGAACTGTACAGTCAATCTTGTACAGCTCGAGGACCCTTTAGCCATGTATGGGGAACCGAGTCAAATGCCTTTCTGTAATCTATCCAAGCGGCGGAGAAGTTCCGACGGTTGCGTTTCACCACTTTTCCAATGACCGCGTCAATGAGGAGTGGTTCCTTGCTTCCACGACCGCCGCCCCGACATCCATTTTGAGCGCGCGACATCACCTGATTTGAGTCCAGGTGACGAGCGATTCTCGCGCTCAAAATGGATGTTAGTGTCTTGTATATAGTCGGTAGACACGTGATGGGGCGGTATTTTCTCGGGTCTGTGGCAACCTGATCTTTAGGAACCAAATGAGTGATCCCAGTAGTGAAGAGGCTTGGGAGCGACTTCTGGTTGAGAGCCTCTTGAAACTGTCGAGCGAGCACAGCGTTACACACCATGAACCCCTTCAGCCAGTAGTGATGCAGCCCGTCAAGCCCCGGACTTTTCCAGTTCGGGGCCCTACGGACCGCCTCAGCCACGTCTTTAGGCGTTATGGTGACGGGGTCCATAGGCGTAACACTTCCACTCTGGCTCGCCACAACTTCCATCCAAGGGCCCTCGCTGTGGTTTACGGGCTCTGACCACAGGCCGCGCCAAAATGCGACAGTGTCAGCCTGATCCGGTCCTGGGCCCGCTCCACATACCTCTGGTCGCTCCAATGATTTATAGAGCCTCTTCTGATCACTCTGGAAGAGACGATTTTGGTTGAACCGACTTGACCTCTCGCTAAATCGTCGAATCCGCTTCCCCCAAGCAGCGATTTTTTGCTTCAGGTCATCTATGCGCTCCGTTAGTTTCTGCGTGATATCCGGCTGGGACAAACTAATATTTGTCCCAGCAAACGCCATTCTAACGGTGCGCACTAACTAACTCTCGGTCTAATATTACCCGACCTGAAGCTTGTCAGTCTGCCGATAAGGGCCCTTGCCTTTGCGATACGCTCCTCTATTCTTTTTCTCTAGGCTGGGATGGCACTACCTTGTTGAGTAGCACGTCCAGCCATGGGAAGTTTGGCGCCAATAATACGGCATACCGCCAGTGCGGCGCCAAAAAGAATTGAGTCCGTCTCGCAAAGGTCCCGGCTGGTTTCCAAATAGGTCACCAGCATTGGGTTAAGAGCCCGCACGACAGCCCGATTTCGCTTGCTAAGGGGTATGCGGGGAAGTCGCGGTCGATTTTCGAGAGGCATGCTGCGCGTTTCCAGCATCGACTCTTCCAATATGCTCCTCATTTTCTCTAGTTCGTGGGGGACTATTCCATCATCGTCTGAATCAACCACAAATGGGATATTGACGGCAGCGTCCACATTTGCAATTTGCTGCGCAATTAGTGGCGCCGCATTCCCAGCCGTAGCATTTCCATCCGATGAGGGAACAGCCTCACGTTGTAGTCGTTCGAGTTCGGCGTCACCAAATATGTTGGAGCGCAGGATGTACCGAACTCGGTCTGCCAGGTTTTGCTCAGTGACGGAATGAGATGGCTCCAGCTCTGCAAAAAAGCGATGCATCCGAGCCCGATATGCCAAACATCCGGTTTCTTCCCCTTTTGCCCTAAAGTACGCCCGCAGTGCGTTTGCGTTCATTGTTTGTGACCAACGCATGCGACGTGCTCCACCAGCGGCGGGTGCCGCTTGCTGAGTCCGAGAAGACCCAGCCGACACCAAGCCTTCTGGTGGGGATGATGGATGTGCGGAGGGCTGCTAGGTGATCGTACAGCTCCTCGCGCTCGGCTGGCGGCCCGCATGCTGCCGCGTCCAGCGCCAGCTCCAGACGCGCCCCGGCGACCCCCAGGCAGCGGCCCTATGCGCGTTCCTCTTTGTACCATCATCCATTTATGGGCGCCAAATAACGGGAGACGCCCAAGCCCGGCACCGTTTCGTGGTTCGGTCATATGCACAAACGGACCTTTGCACCCACAATTTTGCCTAGGCACGGCGCTCACACCTTTTGGCAGGGCGCTGACTGACTGCGCCGACGTAGTAGTTTTGTCACATAACTGTTACGTCAGCGGGCGATGGGGTCGTCACTTCCCTACGCCTTTTTATTATTATTATTATTATTAATATACGTCGAAAGGCCATAATCTTTAAAATTGATCTATGTGCGATTTCTAAAGGTTTTAAGACAGTTTTGGCGTTACCACCCCAACATGAAATACGGTAAGATATGATAGAAAGGCAAAGTGCAAAATAAACGTTGCGTATAATACTCTGATTAGTGACGTGACGAAGTGATTTGAAAATAAAGATTAATTTACGGACTCTGCTGGTTAAATCTTCAATGTGGGCTTTAAAATTTAGAGTTTTATCTAGAGTTATGCCAAGATATTTGGTTGTGTTGACCGAATTAACAAGTGGACAGTGGCAAGTTTGTTGACATTGGTAATGACATGAGTGGGCTATTAATTTTACTGGAATTTTAGGTAGTGTAAGTTGTTGTCGCTTATCATACAGACAGACTGTGCAAGTAAAATATTAATTTCTCATAGCTTATTTATGAAAACATAATTTTGGTTAATTAATTACTGAGAGAATGATGCTCTCCGTGTTTATAAAAGGGATTAAAAATGAATAAGTAAATGACATGGGTTAGATGGTGGGTGACAATAATGTGAAAATAAAACCTTTAGTATTTACCTAGCTTGACGCGTACCGTTGAAATGATGAGGTCAAGTGTGATAGCGGCTGCTGGACCCATGTCACTCACGCAACATCCGCATTTCAGTAAGTGACATTGAAATTGGGAACTTCTATCTGTAATTGCATTAAATACTGAATTTACTTGTCTACCTATCTTGAAATCTTGATAATAATTATATGTTTTTATAATTAAAATTTTGTTAATAGAAATTCTCTTTACTTTGACTTTATCTATATATCAGAACTTGTAGGAATCTGGAAATGTTAGTAAAATAGGTAAATCTCTAGTAATTTCAAATAATTTTAAGTGGAAATATATTTGACACTACTTTATTAAACGTTACTAGAATTAAATCTAAAAAAAGACACAACTTATGCAATTTAGAAACTATAAAAACAAACCTCTTGCACTTTTTTGTTACTCTCGATTATATTAATTGAAATATAAACTTTCATGGTGTGACAATTGACCAACTTTTAAAACCATATTGAGAATATAAATAAAAAAATATATAGCTATTGTTACGCTCTCCCACTTCTAGTCGAAATTCCATCCACTAATACTGCCAAGCCAGCTCATATTGTCTATATTTATCCATTGTTAACATATGGAGCTACATATTGGGTTAACTCAATAGATATTCAATCGGCTTATGTTTTACAAAAAAAAATGTCTACGGAAGATATACAACTTGCAAACCACTGACACTGCGAACTATATTTAAAGATAAAGATTTTCTCACTCCAACAAGTATAGATCTACATTCTAGAGTTATGCCTTTTAGTAAAAAATAATTTGGAATATTTTGTTTTCATGTCGTCTTTAAAAACAATTATTCGAAGTAAATATAAATACAATCTTAGTCTACCACGTATCAATAATGTAATTTATCATAAGAGTACTAATAGCACCGTAATACGTGTATACAATCACTTACATGTAGACATAAATAGCTTGATATAAAAATGTTTCCAATAGTATTAAAAAATTGCGTATAAATATAACATTTTGTCTTAAAGCATTTTCTAGTTGGTCGGCGCACACTGCTGATTGCTAAATGAGGGAAATTCATTTGCGAGTATTTTCCAGTTTTTTTTTAATGTCATATCTACAAATGGACTCATAAGGGCTAACGAAATGTGTTATGTAGCATATCTCTGTATGTAGAAAGAAATAATAATGTACTTTTTAAAAATAAGGTATTTTCTTAGAAGGTTGCACTTATTTCAGATAGTTTTAATATTACCTTTTTGAACAGTTTTAACTCGATTTATTACTCTCGAAATTATCTGGCTTTCAGTTAACTACTTTAAATCTCGTTGTTCTGTTATAAAAGGCAACGCGAATCATTCCTGAAAATTTTAAGATTGTGATCAATTAACAAATATTTTGACGAACAATCTTGATGTATTAACCGTATGATGATGTATTAAAATGCGATACCCAACAAGTCGAGACTTGTCGGGCATCGCATGTATGCATTCCTTTTGGAGTTCTCTATTATTTTAAAATCAGTGTTATAACGACGACTCCTGGCTATTTCATTGGATTCTCAGTTTGGCTTTGTGATTTGGACTTTGTTTGGTAATATCACGGCGATTTAGCTTGTATCTGGACTGATATTGTGTATCAAGATGCGACATATACAATATACGGCACAAGAATACGCAAAAAATGCATTTCATTTATGTTGAATGCAGCAGCAACGCAAGTTTTTTTTCCTTTTATAGGGAATGATACCCTACCGCGCGTCACCCAGATTACCGCGTATTCATCAGAGTTCACAGATGTTATTCGGAAGGTAGAATACCTGGCATAGGCTTTGGTGGTATGAGCACTGGAAGACTAGCTAATATTAATACACAAGACATTGCGTTTAACGAAATTGGGCAAGACCACCTCTACTAGAGTAATAGCTCGACGTACTGGAATCTCGAAGACGACCGTGCACCGTGTACTGAAAAAAAAATTCCATCCCTGCCACATTACTTGCGTCCAAGCTCTGCAACCGAGAGATTACAACGCACGATTTTTTTTGTCGATAAATGTTTGCAAAAATATAACAGGATCCACAATTCTTCGAAAATATTCTGTGGTAATATACTAGTTCCAAATTTTTTGGTCTGGGATATTAAACGGAAAAATCATTAGTGTATTTGAACTGCCCGGAAACTTATCCGGACAAAGTTATTTGAATTTTATACAAAATGATCTGCCAAATTTAATGGAAGAGGTGCCTGAGGAGGTGAGACAATCCCACTGGCTACAAAATAATGGTAGACCTGCACATTATGCTGCAAACATCCGTGTGTATTTAAATGCCACGTATACAAATAAATGGATTGGTCGTTTAGATCCCATTTTATGGCCTCCGCGATCCTCGGACTTAAATCCCCTACATTTTTTTACCGAAGCTGTCAAAAATAACAGGTGTACTTCAAGTCTATTTCAAGTTTGGAGGAATTGAGCAGTCATGTGCAGGAGGCCACTTCAAAAACAATTAAACAGCGCTAAGCACGACTTCTTAGAAGAGCATTTATTAGAAGATGCCGAGCTTGTATCAGAGTCGGTAACAGGCAATTCGAACACATGTTATGACGTAAAAATTGATTTATGTACAACTTAATGCTTTTATTTTGACAATTTAAGACCAGATTTTTTTCTTTCTTTAGTCGCATTTATTCTTTTTGCATCTTAACGTTAAATAAAATTATGTATTATACCATTTTGTAAACTGTATTAACTGCGCATATTTTTGAAATAGTCACTTAGGTCTTTATACTTTTTTCATGAATGGCTCTCAAACTTTTGGCAAAATTATTTTTTATAAAATTTCATTCTAAAAATTGAAGTTTATTTTTTGCAAAAAAGTACAATAGATACTCATGCTCTTTACTGCACATCTAATAGAATAGTCTGTGAGGAATGAGAAAACACCAAAAACGCAACGAATTTCATTAATTTGAGGCAGTGGTGTACATGAAAGTACAATAAGATCAATAAAAATATTTTTAAACCTTCATATTTTGGCACCATTTGAAATAAATTTTTTTCTGTATTTTTATTTGAGCGCCTGATACCTGAACTATTAGGCATTTTGATATCCATTATTTCTGGGACAACTTGTATTACCAAAAATATTTTTTTTAATTTCAAAAACGAACTTACAGTCACCTGGCAGAAAGTGGCTACTACAGTGTATGGACACGAGCGACCAACTTTACACAAAGAAGGCTACTGATGCATCGTCACCCCCTGAGGATTAAAATGGAATGCCTCATGGTCACACATACATGCCCTGTACATAAAACTTATAGCTCTCTTATGTAATCTTATGGCTATATATGTAAACTTACAACTTCTTCTTGTTCATCCACATCCGATTTTTAAAAAAAAAATAAGCTTTTATATAACATTTAACTTAAAATTTTCTTATGTCAGTTTAAGTCAATTTGTCCAACTTTTGAGTAAATTTTTGATGATATTGTAGTTCACTGTCATTATTTATTTTTACTTACTATTTGAATGCTTACGACTTGTACGATTTCAATGCTACTTGCTATTTGTCTCACTATTTCAATATTTATCGGGAAAAAAACTGCAGATAACGAAAGCCTATTGAAAAAAAAAATCTACAGGGCGATGCACTGATTGAGTACCATTGGAATGCTTTCATCTAATTGACTTGAGGGACGAGTCTGTGTCTACTGTATCATGTGTGTACTTGCATTCATTTCACGAAATGGGAATATTGGCTCTCTTATCAAGCACTCGTACTGACTCGCTGAATGAATGAAGCGAGACTATTCATTGAATAATTAAACTTATGTTACAGAGGTTACTCTTGTGTCTAGCTAGACATAGTTTA